CGCGTAGGCCCGGCCGCGCCGGCGAGGCTGCAGGCCCGCTCCGCACGCCTCTCACCCGCTACGCAGCGCGCGGGGACGCAAAGTTTGGGTCCCCCGTTAGGCCCGAACTTTCCCGCCGTGCGTGCAGTCCCCCCGCTTTCCACCCGCCGCGGCCCCAGGCCCCGGCCCACGGCAGGCGCGACTTACTCCGGCGGCTCCCGCAGCGCCTGGGTCTCCGCGGCGGCCATCTTGAACTTCCTGACTTCGCGGCGGCGACGGCGGCGGCGGCGGCGGCGCCGGCAGCCCTGACGGTAGTACCCAGTGGAAGTGGGGAAGGAGGGAAAGGGGCCGGCGCGCATGTGCACGGCGGCGCAGGCGACGCGAGGCCGAGTGCGCGCCGACAATCCGGAAGTAAAACCTTATTGCGGGGCGGCGGAGCGTCATGACGTAACTTCCGGGGCGGGCGGTGCCTGCCGTTGCTAATTGCGAGCGGCGGTCCTGGTTTGACGATGTTATCGAGCGTTTGAGCATGCTTTGCTGGTTTACTCTAGTTCCAGCGTTCGGGAGGCTGAAGCAGATCACGAGTTCGAGGCTTGGGGTACATAGGGAACTCAAGGCCAGCCAGCCTGAACTGCACACTGAGACCCCCTATCAGAAAAAAAAAAAAAAAGCAAAATTGAGCATTTAAAAACTCAAACAAATATTGAGCACTTAGATCATGAAGCTTGATGGGGAGGGTAGCAAGGGCAGAGGAATATGCATATAGTGGCAAATTGATGTTTCTTAGCTTCTTGCTGCTTGCTTCGTGGAGAGGTAGGCCGGTCTCAATTTCTTGAACCAGGATATTATCCCCAGTTTCCCTCTGGTATGGGGAGGTCACACTTTATAGAAAGGAGAAGTGGGGAGAAAATAGGCGCACAAGTTGATCAGGTGTGATGTCAGATTGCAACTAAAGCCAAATAAAGACCTGCACAACGCAGTTTGAAAAGCGCATGGTAAATTGTGGCAGTGGCACACGCCTGTAATGCCACCACTGGGGGCTGAGACCAGAGGATCACAAGTTCGAACTCAGCCTGGGGCAATTTAGCAATTTGGAGAGACTTCTCAAAAAGGGAGCTGCTGAGATGTAGCTCAGAGTGCAGTCCTTGAGTGCGAGACTCTGAAAAACAACAACAACAACAACAACAACAACAATCTGCTAGCAAAAATTTATTCGAATTCTTTGCCAAATTCGCTTGCACAGTATTCCAGTTTGGCACGTGAAATAGGAAGTTTTCAGGGACTACTCAAGGACTATTCAGGGACTGTTTTGTGTTGTAGTTTTGGGAGAGTGGGGTTTCTTGAAGGCAGAGTTAAAAGGAAGTAAAAATAACCGACTTCATCAGTTTAATCATTAACTAAACGTTTACAGAGTGATGAACGTAGGCCCCCATCTCACTTTGTGGCTTCCGGCACTCGGGAAGCTTTGGACCGGAACGTCGCCCAGGCCAGTGCGGCTCGGAGGACCCGAGCGGAAGGGACCGCGCGGGGCAGGGCTCTCCCGGAAGTCGGGGACGCGCGCCTGCGTACCCGGGACGGCGCGCTGGGTCCGCGCCCGAGCCCGCCGCAGCCGCGGTGGCAGCTCCTCCCGCCGCCCGAACGCGGCGTCCCTGCGCCCCGAGCACGCCCGCCGCGCTCCCAGAGACGCCGCTGCCCGAGCTGCGCGCCGGGCAGGGAGCGAGTAGAGCGCAGAGCCCGCCCGCGTCGCCGTTGCGCGTGTCCGTGCCGCGCGGAGGTCCAGGTCGCGGGACTGGACGGAGGCCACGGGAGCCCGGCCACGGCGCCCCGGCCGCGACGGGCAGTACAGAACGTTTACTGTCTGGAGATAAGGCTTTGGGGACAAGCATGCAAATTTAAACGCCTCGAGGTTTTTTTTTTTTTTAAATCTCTGGTTTCTTTTACGCCTTATTCCAGACAAGTTACACGTTCCAGAAATACATTTAATGTTTTTATTTTAAAGAGAATAAAAAAAGATATTAAAAACGATACAGAGTATCAAAACAAGATGATAGGAAATCAACAATGTTGCATATTGTCACCTTCAAAGTAGTTGCTCATATTACCAGATACAGGTATACAACATTGATCAAAAAAAATAAGTGTTATTTCCTTTCAATAAACTAATAGAAATTAGTAGCGCAATGATCCTAGCAATCTTGTGTATTATTTCCCCCACTTTGTTTTCTCCTTTCCCTCATCTCAGTTCTTTCCTTTTGAGCAGTTTCTTTCTGTTGCACAACATCTATTGTACTTTTTGGATTTTATTTACTATTTCGGTTTCTTACACTAGGGAGACAGGATGTTTACACGTGTGGTCTGATTTGTTTCACTTACGAGTAAACCCGGGGCTTTCACGGATAAATGGATATATTTTAAAGTTTAGTTCCTCCTCTGGGAAGGAATTAAAGTTGGACCTTCTAAAGCTGTACTGTCCTCGCCTGTCTCACTAAGCTCTCAATGGACACTCCTTGTAACGGATACTACAAACAAAAGGAGGATCAAAATCCTTAGCAGAAACATGTAGAATAAGTCGAGTGTGGAGTGTGACATGATTTAATTTGTTATAAGGTTTCTTTTGCCTCTTTATGAAACTAGACTGCAGGGGGCCCCATCCAGAATTACAAAGTAAGACCCTGAGACTCTCAAAAAAAAAAAAAAAAAAAAAGGTGGTATGGGGGAATAGGGGGAATAAGTTCTAGATTTGAAATTTGGGGAAAATACTAGTGGACTTTACTACAAAACATAGACATTTCCCTTTATTCTGTGGAAAGTGTAGGTAATTTTGTTTGTCAAGAAGCAGGTGTAGTGTGTTTATGAAAATCAGCCAGAAGAACCCAAAAGCCAGCCTTGTTTGCACTGAACTGGGCCTAATTAAGTTTTCTTGTTCTCACCTGTAAACTGTGATTGTTAGCTTTATTGTAACATGTCTCAATTTATGTGATTGTGGTTTCAGTAAATGTCTTAACTGCATTTTGACCTTATGTTACCAGTTGTCCAAATCGTCTCAGTTTTGCACTCATGCAAGGTTTGTACTCTCCTTTGTCAGTTCTGTGTGTTTTCTTAAGTACAGATGATATAAGTTCATTTTTTTCTAACAAAAAAATCTTTCCTAAGGCAGCCTTCACACGTGACAACAGCACGTTCCACACACATGTTGTTTATACTGACTGCACATGTGCTTTGCTTTCCTGGTCTTTCTCTAGTATACACTTGACATCCTTATGTCTTACGTTTGTACACACTTGACATCCTTTGGTCTTAGGTTTTGTCAGGAGGTCCTATCATAGTATACAATGTGGAGTTAAGAGGAATATAAAATATAAATAAAGTATTAAAGTCTTCATATGTATTGTACATTTAGGCTAAAAATCAACATTTCCACGCCAGCTGTATATTTATTTACAAAACCTAAAAGATAACATCAAAAATGAACTTCTACATGAACTACAATGAAAATGCCAATAGAACTGGGCAACAAAAATAATCTTTGCTTCAGCTGTCACACCCAAGGCAGTTTTCACAAACCAAAACCGCGTGTACCATGCACAAGTGTCACTTCCACCAATAGCAGCAGGTATGTTTCATTTTCCCGTTCTGTTTCGTAGGGCACAACTGACATCTTTTGGTCTCCCTGTTGGTGTAGTCGGTCCTGGGGATGCTGCTCACGCCTGTTCGCCTAGGAGCTCCCCAGTGTGCTCCACAATTTTTCTGCATAGTTCCCTGGGCAGGAGTATTTTGCTCTTACTCTGTTGTAAATGGTCTTGCCTGAGTTCCAGCCCCAATCCTCTCAGAAAACTTCTCCGTGGTATTTTGTACTTCTCATTTTCTTTGTAAACTCTCAAACTTCAGCTGCATGTTTAGGATTGAGTAGAACAACCATTGGTCAATGGTTCATGTGACCTCATAGTTTCTGTAACTCAATGTCTACTCCGCCTTTGGTTTCCTTGTAAGAAGTTGCCACCTCAGGCTTCAGTTTATCTCGGTTTCTCTGTCAATTTTGCTGTCACAGTATAACATTGGCATCAGCAGTGCAGTTGATTTTCCTTTGCTGTATATGAGGCCAATGTTACGTCTTTCTGAAATCCAAAGATTTTTCTATAGAAGTCTTCGTTTTAAAATCGCAGCATTTCATTTGCAATTCTTGCTTTGTTCCTCTGTTGATCAACTTGCGCTCTGGTAACTAATGTGACATCAGTTGGAACCTGGTAAACTCATGGTTGAATGTCACATTCTGATTAGTTTGGGAGATGGGAGCAACAGGTCTGTTCACGGCTTCATTTGGTTCATTGCGAAAGGAATAAGTAAGCCCAGGTTGCAGAGTTCTAGGGCCAAGTTCTAAATTGCAAGTGTGTCTTCATCTCTAGCTGGGCATATATTTTTATACGACACTTTGAAGGCTTTTGTTTCGTAGCTACTCTCCAAAGCTACAGTGACCAGCTGTTTCATGTGTCCTTGCACCGAGTGCTACTTCTGCTGCTGCTTCAGAGCTCCTGCACACACCTTGCCGTCTATCTGCAGGTGGGGGAATGTATAAATTTGGTGTAATAACTTGCTAAAGATAACAGAATCCAGTGTTGATTAGGGAAGCAAGAACTAAAGGGTGTAGGGTTTGGATTGCATTCAAAATGTACTGGAGGGCTGGGCATTTAGCTAATGGTACAGCGCCTCCCTGGCAAGCTCGAGGTTCTGAGTTCAGTTCTTGGTACCCACCCCCCAAAACTCCCCATAAAATTTGCTGAAAAGAACAAGTTGAGTGTGGGGAACAACATGATTTAATTTGTTAGAAGGCTTCCTTGCCTGTTTTATGGAGCTAGACTGCTGGGGACCAAGGCAGCAACCATTAGGAGACTTTCCATAATCCGGAGAAAGGGTGATGGTTTAGACCAGTGTATAGGAGGGGAAATGTGGGTGGATGCTGATAGGTTTTGAAGAGAGAGGTGATGGGGTTCCTTACTATCTGGGGAGGGCCAGAGAATGCAACTGAAATGTCCGGCTGAGCAGCTGGCTGCTGCAGCTGCCTCCTAACAGATAAGGAAGTACCCGGCCGAGAACTGAAGGGCATCCAGTCAGGCGTGGTGCATCTGCAGAGGCTTAGCTAGCCGTTGACTGGGTCTTAAGGACTTCAAGTGCTGCTCTTGCGGTGTCTGTGTGTCCTTTTTGTTTGTTTTTTAAGTTTTTGCTGTATATTGAGTATTTTGGTTCTATTGTTAGGTATATGCATGCTTTTAAGTTTCACGTTCCTAGTGGGTTGTTTTATCGTTATAAAACATTCCTGTGGTTCTCTAGTAACTTTATTTAAATCTGTTGTGTCTATGTGTCTAGTATTAGTACAGCCATGTTAGCTTTCTTGTA